GTTGGGGTAGGCTAGAGATGAAACACAAGAGAAACAGTGGTAGGAGAAACACAAAAAGAGCTCAAAACAAAAACAAAACAAAACAAAACTCAAAACAAAACAAAAGAGAGAGAGATTGGAGCAAAAAAGAAAAGAGCAAAAGTCACGGTTCCGGCACGTTGATCGCTAACCTCCAAGCGCTCCTATCGACCGCTAAATCCTTGGAGATATTCCAATTTTTAAGGTCTCTCTGAACCGACTCTTCCCAAGTGAGTTTAGGTCGACCCAGTGGCGAAACCAGGATCCCATTTCGAGGAGGGTCCAATTTGCCTTATAAAAAAATTTTCACGACAAAACCAAACACAAACACAAATTTTCTCCGATCCAGCTTCCCTTCCATGGCTCCATGCCTCCCTGCTCAGCTGCTCTGTGTTTTCGGATTCTGGATTTCCGGTGGCGCCTCTCCGGCCATCCCGCGACGCACTACCCCACTCCGGCATCGGAAGGGCGCTCAAAGGGCACCCTTCCAGTTCCAGCAAAACCCCCCACCCCTAGTTTGATTTTTTTTTTTGTTTGGAAGGGCCGGCGCCTCTCTGACGACATTAATGGTCGCCCCTGGGTCAACCTCTACCTCTCTTAACATCATCGATCCACTGTAGAACTCCCATACGCATCGGTGCATCAAGAGGCCTCCGTTGGACATGTCCGAACCACTTCAGCCGATGTTGAACCAACATCTCTTCAATTGGAGCCACCTCGAACTTATCTCGAATATCCTCATTCCGGATTCTATCCCTTCTTGTGTGCCTACAAAACCAACGCAACATACGCATCTCTGCTACACTTAGTTGTTGGAAATCTTTCTCCTGTTACATGAATTTTTGTTGCCTTTTTGTAGGCCAACATTCAGCACCGTATTGCATTGCCGGGCAAATCGTCGTCCTATAGAACTTACCTTTTAGCTTTTGTGGCACCCTGTTATCACAGAGAAAGCCCGAAGCTTGACGCCATTTCAACCACCCGACTGCAATTCTATACCTAACATCTTCATCAATGCCGCCTTCTTTCTGTAGCATCGATCCCAAATACCGGAAAGTCTCCTTCTTGGCCACCATTTGCCCGTCGAGGCTAACGTCACCATCATCATGAGTAGCCATGCTGAAAGCGCACGTCATGTACTCGGTCTTCGTCCTACTAGTTCTGAAGCCTTTCGACTCTAACGTGTCCTTCTACAACTCTAACTTTCTATTTACCCCTGCCCTACTCTCGTCAACTAGCACCACATCATCAAAAAAGAGCATACACCAAGGGATATCCCCTTGTATGTCCCTTGTGGTCTCATCCATCACCAATGCAAATAAATAAGGGCTCAATGCTGACCCCTGGTGTAGTCCTATTTTAATTGTAAAGTCGCTGGTATCACCCCTATATGTCCAGACACACGTCATCATCATCATGAGTAGCATCGATCACCCCCATATGCCGCCTTCTTTCTGTAGCATCGATCCCAAATACCGGAAAGTCTCCTTCTTGGCCACCATTTGCCCGTCGAGGCTAACGTCACCATCATCATGAGTAGCCATGCTGAAAGCGCACGTCATGTACTCGGTCTTCGTCCTACTAGTTCTGAAGCCTTTCGACTCTAACGTGTCCTTCCACAACTCTAACTTCCTATTTACCCCTGCCCTACTCTCGTCAACTAGCACCACATCATCAACAAAGAGCATACACCAAGGGATATCCCCTTGTATGTCCCTTGTGGCCTCATCCATCACCAATGCAAATAAATAAGGGCTCAATGCTGACCCCTGGTGTAGTCCTATTTTAATTAGGAAGTCGCTGGTATCACCCCCATATGTCCAGACACACGTCATCTCATTCTTGTACATATCCTTGATGAGGGTAATGTACATAGATGGGACGTTTTGCTTTTCTAAGGCCCACCACATGACATTCCTCGGTACTCTTTCATAAGCCTTCTCAAGGTCGATAAAGACCATGTGCAAGTCCTTCTTTTGGTCCCTATATCTCTCCATCAAATGTCGTATTAGGAAAATCGCCTCCATGGTCGACCTTCCAGGCATAAACCCAAATTGGATTTGGGTACACTCGTCACTCGTTGTAGGCGATGCTTGATAACCCTCTCCCAGAGCTTCATCGTATGGCTCATCAACTTTATCCCAACTTAAATTTAATTCAACTGCAACAAAACTCATATATTCTCAATAGTATCAATAATTAAATAATATCAACCGATTATTCTTACACGTCACATCAACTTTAATTCACTATCCATCCGCTCACATAATTTTAAAAAATCATTACTTCCATTCATTTTTTTTCATACTTTACATCAAATCAATTTTAATTATTTTACTTTAATATTATTTTAATTTAAACATAAATTCCCACTAACACTTAATCATACCACTTTTTTTCAAAATTAACTAGTTAACAAAGAAACTAATCAAATTCATATCCAATCACACCCTCGATGAAAAGAAACCTTAAAGAGCAAAAATTATCTTTAATACAATACATGTGTATTACACGAGTGAATCTTAAAATATTAATTAAAAGATATTGAAAAGAAAAATGTTGTGAATTTTAAATGATTTTAAAAAAAATATTATTATTTATATTTACAATTACACCCGTCACTTATATAACTTATTCATCTTATAATTAGATATGTTGTGACTTATATCATGCAACTACTTTGTAGTTAAATTAGGTTAATTTTTTATTTTTGAAAATAATATTAATATATAATGTAGTTTTTATTATAAAGGTAAATATAATTGTTTATTTATTTTGTACTATATAGATGTCAACTCGAATCTCATTAAGAGATGATTGATTTAATATATTATACATGAAAAAAATTATAATAAATACAAAAAACTAGTAACTTTAAAAATTATATTATAATTTAAGTTAATAATTTTTGTTTCAATTTTGAAAGAAAGATTGAGGAAAAGAGAAAAATTGAGAAACAAATTTATGCCTTAAAAACCATTTCTAGAATAACAAATTATAGTAAAAGGTAGTTAATTGTGACACCCCACTTTGATTTTAAAGAAATTCCGGACTTTCCAAAAATCAGTAAATAATTTTTTGAGATCATTTTCGAAATCTAACGGGTGTTAAACAACATTTTTCATAACCCAAGTCTTATCTGGGCCCACGGAGATTCATTACCCGGTTTTCACAAGTTTTCTCATTAACCCAAATCATATCACATGACAAAATACTCAACATGAAATATTCAAACCTCATAAAAACCAAACATCATAAACAAGAGTATATCAAGTATTCCCAACATCAAAACAAGTCATAAGTTTTTAATAAAATTTTCACAAGCCTCAACATAAAAGGTTCAACAAGACCTCATTTATTCTAACGGAAGCGAAATATATAGGCATAATCAATAGATCGACCCACTCGTCTTTCCTCGTCACCCGGCACCTGCTTAACCTGCATCCGTGAAGAGCACGTGGGGATGAGCACAAGATGAAAACGAGGTGCTCACCACTATGCACGTATAGCACAATAATGAATAATGTAAAGAAGGCATGGTCGCAGTATGAACATAAATCAATTACCTGTCACATCCCCATATCATATCACAATATATTACCCCTGTGTACACATCTTTCATTAGCCACGGAAAGGGGATTCATTACCCTAACGGTGGGGGTACGTGCCACGCTACGGACACGGCCTTTCATTAGGTCTTAAGGGACTTACCTCGCAAGGGTAACCGTATTACATCGACGGGAACAACCGTACCGACGGCCGAATCAGCTCACGCCGATAGGCTACATGGTTTACATGCATACTTAGATCATATCAACCCAACATTAATTATAATACATACGGCATAGCAAATTTTATAAGTAAACCCACCTGGACGATAACAAGCGAAAGCACAACAATAACGGGTAGGCGGCGAGCTTGGCTCGTCAAGCATCTACATTTATTAAAATAGTCCTATAGATGACTATGCAACACATGAAAAACTAATTATAACAATCAATTAGTCCAACTAAGCTCACATAATCATTTAATCAAGGAAATCTCATTTCTAAAAATACTATGTACGTTTTTAAAAAACTTAAACCGGGCAGCATTTTTGAAATCAACATAACTTTCAGTACAAAACTCTGATGAATATGATTCAAGTTGCACTGAAATCCTAACACATGTATCTACAATTCTTATGAAGACACCGAAAGCAAATAAGGTCGTGTACTAGGAAATAAATCATCAAACATTCAAAACTAAGTAGCAGTAAAAAATCGAGAACTTGTAACCGACCAGACTTCAGTATTTAATAGATAACTGGAGCTACAGACATGTTTTTAATGAGATTCAAAAACTAAATGATAGCTAACGCAAATGTATACAGCTTTTCTGAAGACCATATTGGCAAATAATCACTTTATAAATGATTTTGGATACAAAACATTTGATTCATAAAGTCTGCCCGAGACTAAAGTATGATATAA